ATTGCATATGGGATAGCTGAAATTGTATCAAAGCCGTCCTCTGGGTCATCCAGAAAGACCATGAAAGCTCCAGGAAAAGATGGTCGAATCTTCAGGGATGAATTTGAGAAAGATCCTGCCGCTTATTTTCGTAATAATCGTGGCAAGTAATTAGTAATCAATAAGATGTGTTGTTGGATGAAATGAAGTAATTATGCTTATTTCAATCTGTCAACTTCTGTCTCTCAGCTTTAGGAATCTCGTTTGTATTAAGGTAATGTTCTGCGTGTTCATATAAAATATAATTCTAGAATTCTTGTGTTTTTAATTTCTTGTCAAGCAGAAACAAAAAGAAGAAAAAGTAAGTACAGTGCTGCTTGTCCTTGTAAAATCTGGTTGCCCTCTTCTTCTCCATTTCACTCAATTTCGTGTGGCAAAAGATCTATAGATGTCTGGGCATGATGTTAATTATTATATATGTAGGACCTAACCTGAATTATTACAAGTAGGTCCCTCAAAAAAAATTATTACAAGTAGGCCTATCAAAAGGAATAATGGACCATCACATGGGCTTTAGCCTTTAATTTCAGGCCCAAAGATATCCTCTATTGGACCGACTGTGAATGATTACTGCCAGTACTGGGGCGTCTTCCGCTGCCCTATTAATTCAGTTCGTGCGGTGGTTATTTATTACGTGGGTTCGTATTCATTATTATACTCGAGTCCTGACGGATGGATATAATTAAAAATAATAAAATTACATTAAGCTTTAGATGTTAATTAAATCATAAAATTTGTATATATTCTAAATCCTAATGAGCTCAAAAAACAAAAAATCCTAATGAAATCATAAAATCTAAAATCTTGAACTCTAAAATCCTGGAAAATAGTAACTTAAATTATTATTCTTATGTTAAATTTGATAATTTTTTTATTTTTTTATTTGCGTATCGTAAAAAATTGAATAGCATAAATAGCTATATTAAAATTTTTTTCAAGTAAATCAGTGTTTATTAAAAGCATAATTTAGTTAATTACTATTTCTTCCATCCCATTTTGTTTGTTTATTATTTTTTTTTTTTTTGTAAATTTATGTATGTAAATTTTTTTTTTTTTTTGATAATCTTTATGATTATTGATTAAACGAAAAAGTACTATTAATGCCTTAAAAAGTTATAAGTAAATAAAATATAAAATAAAATTTATTGACTAAATTTTTAATATGCGTATTTTATCAAATCATACAAATAAAATGAGACAGATAAAATATTTTATTTCTGCTAAAATTAATGTGATTCAATCATTTTCTTAATTTTTATAAAATGTAAAGAACCGTTGACTTTAACACAACGGTGTAATAACCATATGAAAAAAAATAGAAGTCAATTACATGTAGCTGCCTGTTGGATATTTACGGAAGTGTCCTTCATTATAAATTGCAGAACCTTAACAGATTATTTGGATGGAGTTACTTGATAGATTTGGAAAGTAAAGTAAGGCAGAAGATGGTTATTTAGTCTTTTGGGAAAAGAATTTGAGAAAGCGTTTTTAAAAGTTATTTGAGGGGTTAAAAGCCCGTCTAAATACCCTAGTCTTCAACGCTCCAAATTAATATTTAAACATAGTTAAAAATTTTAATTTTCAAAATTATTCATAATTATATTTATAAATCTTTAATAACAAAAATATTTTCGTAATATTAAATTTAACACTATCTTCGTCTGGCGTCAACAAAAAGTTAAAGGAAGAGCCATGTGCCTTCCTCAGGCATTGTAGCTTACGGAAGAGACCCAAAAGGCCTAAAGGGACCCCTTTGTCTCTCTCCCTCAACAGTAAATGCCCTAAATAATGACCTATCATGCCTTTTTTCTTTATTTAGTTCACACCCCAATGCCCCTTTCACTTATTATTACACTTTATCATTTACAAAAGCAATGTTTACAAATTAAATAATAATAATAGAAAAAAAAAAAAGCAATCCACAGGACATCAAGACCAGGGAAAAAAGTGTACATATATTAATAAAAAGAAAAGAAAAGAAATAAAATAATTAGACATTAATTAAATTAATTAATTAAGCTAAGAGCCAGAAATCTTTAAGAAATAAAATAATTAGACATTAATTAAATTAATTAATTAAGCTAAGAGCCAGAAATCTTTGTGACGCTTAGTGGTGATCAAATAGCCTCCACCTTTTTTGCTCCTTCTTCTAACTGCAATGGCCATACAATCAGCATTTTGGATGCAATATTCTACAACTCCTCCACCTGTCACCTTATTGCTTGCCCACATCATTATCAATCTCCATGTCATCGATCTCTTCTTTTGCCCTAGAACCAGAAGTTCCACTCCTTGCCTTTTAGCTTCTTCCACTATTAATGGCCCTTTCTCCTTTCCTTCTACAACTGCAATCTCTATTTGTATCTGCAGATTAATTAAAACTTATATTTCTTATACATCTACATTATAAAATCTTATATGTACCCAAAATAAACAAATGCAGCAATAGCTACCCACCTCAGGTCTCCTTAATTGGAACATGTTCTTCAAGGAATTTACAAGTTCATAAGCCCTTGGAGGAGCTCTCTGCTCCTTGCTAGACTATTCAATTGCAATTTTGGCTGTTTCAAGAAAATTTCTCTGACTATGTGAATTGCTAAAAGAAAAATAGTCCAATTAAGTGCAGCATTAGTTGTTTCTTGTCCAGTAATATAAAATGTTTTGTACTCATCAACTATGTCGTTTATGGATATTTTCTTGCTCTTATTTGGATCCTGGTTTGCCTTAAGGAGCACTCCAAGAAAATCACTTCCATGGCTATCGGGTTCACCCATATTTGCTTCCTCCTCCCTCTTCCTTATCATCTTTAAGATGGATTATCGTAACCTTCGCTCAAGTTTATCTGATTTGATATCATCCTTTGTTTTTATAAATTTCCTGCCATAGTGGAAGCAGACATCTTTAACTCAAACATTTCTGCATATAAAATAATTATCGAAAGGAGAAGAAAAAGAATCTTACTTTATTTTAACTCAAACATTTCTGCATATAAAGTAATCTATCAAAGGAGAAAAAAGAATCTTACTTTATTAAATGGTATTCGACTCCAAAAACTATTCTGTGAAGCAAGTAATAGAATCTCCATTATCATGTCAAAAATCCCTGTGCTTCCAAATCCTCTTCCTTATCATCTTTAAGATGGATTATCGTAACCTTCGCTCAAGTTTATCTGATTTGATATCATCCTTTGTTTTTATAAATTTCCTGCCATAGTGGAAGCAGACATCTTTAACTCAAACATTTCTGCATATAAAATAATTATCGAAAGGAGAAGAAAAAGAATCTTACTTTATTAAAGGTATTCCGACTCCAAAACTATTCTGTGAAGCAAGAATAAGAATCTCCATTATCATGTCAAAAATATCCTGTGCTTCCAAATATCTGCTTCCAAATGCTGTCCTGGAAATTACATCAGATGTTAATTGCTTGAATTCTTTCCATACATCAATCTCCTTTTTTTCATATTGCCTTCACCTTCCAAGCATCATCTCTACGCTTGTGATCATCACTGGAATCATATTCTGTAATTTAAATTGTTAAAACACAAGACATATCATAGTTTTATTTAGTAATAAACCGTCACAAAGAAATGATAAAAAAACTCAAATATAAGATAAAAAAACTCAAATATGGAGACAACCGAAAAAAAAAAAAAAAGAATGTTATAGAAAAAACAGCTCTGAGTTTATTCAAGCAAAATAAGGTTAAAAGCAAAAGAAGGTGAAGCAAAAAAGATAGTAGAAAGTAGGAGGTAAGGATTACCGCTGATAAATAATAGCAGCTCAAAACTAAAATTAGAATTACAAAACGAGAGAAAAAAGAGAGAAAATCTTGTTACATTTTCTCTTTAAATTTGTTTTTTTCCCCAAATCGCAAATAGTCATTTGGACAAAAATAACCTTATTTGTGCTAATTGTCACTATTAAATTGTTTAGTGTAGAGTTAATATTTTGCTTATTTTTTTAACTACAACAAATCTAAGGATAGTGCAAGACAAGAAGACATGAGTTCCCTGTCAGAGTTGAAATGGATTTGACAATGTAACTATAACTAAATAAGAGTAATAATTCCTTTAAAAAAATATAACTAATAAGAAAAGAGCATTGCTGAATTCGAAGTACAAATAAGATCAAAGTAAAAAGAAGAAATTGTATTCACATGGATGGACACATGTGCATTGAAAGCATAAAACCGCCAAATAAGGATCAATATATAAATTTATTTCTGTACTTCTTACCAAAATCTTATGACATTTTCAATTTTCACTTCAACTTATAAAATTAAATCAATTAAATACTTATCGGATAATTGAAAAATGTAAAATTATTATTTTAAATTTATATTCACAACACATCCGATCCATATTTTGCATATGAAAGCCAAAAAACTTAAAAATCTATTGTTTTTAACGTAATAAATAGTGAGATTATTACAAAAAGAGAAATTGAGGATACTACAAGATTGATTTTAAAATTAATGGTACCACAAAGTTTTTTTTATTAAACTTCAAAAATTAAATTATGTATTTAACCGATAAAATAGAGAATGTGAAATTTTTTAGCTAAGGAAGTCCACTTCCCATGGGTGAGCGAGGGAAGTTACTTTGATAAAAATAAAACTCATAGCATAATTTATTTACTTTTGTTTATTACTATTAATGTCATTAACACACGATTATTTTCACGATATAATTGGGTTAAAAGGATAATGTCATGAACATGGTAAATCTAAATTCAAACCCATCAATAAATCCAAATCCAACCCAAACCTATTAATTTTTTAATAAAAATTCAAATTGCTTTTCCTAATCAAGCAACTTACTGACAGGGCCAACAGTAAAAATCAAGTTCATAGCCCAAAATAATTAACTGGCCCATCTTATATTTATTTATTTTATAATTTTTTAAAAATTCATTAATAACTTCAATCTACTTTTCAAATCCACTCATTTTGTATGAGGTTTTTATCTAAAACATAAAAATATTTTTCTACTGGTTAATTTGATCTCTTCATTTTGAAAGAACTATTTTAGATTTATTAATTTACTATCATTTTATTCATATTGCATTTAGATCTTGCAACTATATTTAGAATAATTTAAACATAATCAAAAATAAAATTATAATTCTGAATAAGTAAAAAGAGACAGAAAGGCAAAAAGAATACAGAATTACTAAAACAACCAGAATCCAAATTTCATTTCACCATATAGATACCAACAAACCACAGCAACATCCAACAAGCATCATTTATATTAATCCATTCCCTAATTTATTTAGATATATATATACTATAATATTGGATACGTTCTTCATTTCTTTTCACGATTCTCCCTAAAATAACCTGCAGGATCCTTTTCAAAGGCACTCCTAGAAATCTGAAAATCTTGGCCTGGAGCTTTCATTGTATCATTGCCAGACTTAGACGCAGAACATGTGTTCCCAGTGCCCTTTGAAGCACCCTGAGGCGCTCCCTTTCCAGATCCGCAACCAGAACCTTGGTTTTTGCTTGACATTTTCGATAAATTTGTTTATACTATCTGTTAGCTTTGTTAACAAGCAAGAAAGACCGGGCAGGTGATTTTATAGTGTAAAAATAGCAACCTGGGAATTGTCGAGTCATAAATGGGATTTTACAAAAGACTATCTGCTTTTGACTTGATTTGCTCTTATTTAATGAAATCATTCGGTACCAATGTAATTATTTAATGAAAAATCGTATTCCCAAAAGATAGTTTATTGGGAAATCAAATCATCACATTCGAAAATTCTTATTTCATTAATAGCTGACGCTCGCACGCCAAGTCGTCAACCCAAGCGACAGGAAGTTGCATCAAGTTCCTACAACGCACTATAAGCAGCATCTGCTTTTGATCTGATCTGATAAGGAATAAAATTGAGTCAAAATTAAATCAATGGATACAAATGTTTTCAAATAAAAAGACAAGAAATAAATGACTGTAATTCCCAGAACATTATCGGTACCACAAGACGTCATTAAATAACATTATCCCATTTTACCTTAGGCCCCGGTGATAAAATTACGAAAATAATCAGTGAAAAATTAAAATTGTAACACACAGAAATTTAAGTGATTTACCTTTAACTATTTAGGGCTACGTCCATGGACAAACTCCGAACGATTCTTCCACTATTAAAAATAATAATATTACAAAGAGAATACAAAAATAATAACACTCAAAATGTCTTACAAAAATACATAAAAATAATTTTTTCATTATTTTTCTCTGTCTATTATAGAAAATCCTTACCTCTACATACGAGTTCTTTGCTCTCCTTTTTGTTAGTGCGTGCAGATGAAGCAAATCCTCTTCTATAAAAGCAAAACGCGTTTTCTCTCCTTTTTTTCAAAACAAAAGCGTGGGTCTCAACCTTGAGTGGTACCGCCAGCGGGCACCACCACTAACATTTTAGGTATCTAATTCCAGGGTTAGCTTTACACTATAAAATGTCCAATCTGCTCTCTCTTCCTTGGCACAAAGTAATCGTAAAAAGAAAGACATAAGGGAAGAAAAAAAAAATGTCTGGAAAGAATGAGGGTTCTGGAATAGGTGTGTTTTTAAGTGCAGTAGCAGTGATTGCTGCGATTGCATATGTGATAGCTAGAATTGTATCACAGGCATCCTCTGGGTCATCCAGAAAGACCATGAAAGCTCCAGGAAAAGATTTTCGAATCCCCAGGGAAGATTTTGATAAAGATCCTGCCGCTTATTTTCGTAGTCTTCGTGGCAAGTAATTAGTAATCAATAAGATGTGTTATTGGATGAAATAAAGGAATTATGCTTATTTCAATCTGTTAATTTCTGTGTCTCAGCTTTAGGATTCTCGTTTGTATAAAGTAATGTTCTGCATGTTGATATAAAAATAATTCTAGAATTCTTGAGTTTTTAATTTCTTGTCAAGCAGGAAGAAGAAAGAATAAGTACAGTGCAGCTCGTCCTTGCAAAATCTGGCTGCCCTCTTCTCCATTTTACTCAATTTCATGTAGCAAAAGATCTATAAATGCCTGGTCATGATGTTAATTATTATATATGTAGGACCTAACCTGAATTATTACAAGTAGGTCCCTAAAAAAAAAATATTACAAGTAGACCTATCAAGAGGAATAATGGACAACCACATGGGCTATAGCTTTTAATTTCAGGCCCAAAGATATCCTCTCTTGGACCGACTGTGAATGATTACTGCCAGTACTGGGGCGTCTTCCGCTACCCTAGTAATTCAGTTCGTGTGGTGGTTATTTATTACATTGGTTCGTATTCATTATTATACTCTTGAGTCGTGACCTATGGATATAATTAAAAATAATAAAATTACATTAAGCTTTAGATGTTAATCAAATCATAAAATTTGTATATATTCTAAATCCTAATGAACTCAAAAAACAAAAAATCCTAATGAAATCATAAAATCTAAAATCTTGGAACTCTAAAATCCTGAAAAATTGTCACTTAAATTATTATTCTTATGCTAAATTTTTTATTTTTTTATTTACGTATCATAAAAAATTGAATAGCATAAATAGCTATATTAAAAATTTTTTCAATTAAATGAGTATATATTAAAAGCATAATTTAGTTAATTACTACTAATTATGTCTCATTTTATTTCCTTGTTAGTTCTTTTTTGGATATCCCAAAATGTTTATAAGGATTGTAAATATATACATATAAATAATTATTTTTTCCGTGATGACCTTTATAATTATTAATTAAATGAAAAAATTCTATTAATACCTTAATAAGTTAAAAGTAAACAAAATAAAAAATAATTTTTATTAACTAAATTCTTAATATTCATATTTTGTCAAAACATACAAATAAAATGGAAGATGAAGTGTTTTGTTTCTACTAGAATTAAGGCGATTCAATCATTTTTTTAATTTTTATAAAATGTAAAGAATCATTAAATTTAACACAGCGGTGTAATCATATATATATGGAAAGCATGAAGTTGTTTTGTTTCTCTAGAAATTAAGCGCGATTCAATTCATTTTTTCAATTTTTATTTAAAATCGTAAAGAATCATTAAATTTACAACAGCGGCTGTAATCATATATATATATATATAACTATATATATATATTTAAAGAAGTCATATATATATATATATATATATATAAAGAAGTCAATTACATATTGCTGCCCGTTGGATATTTACGAAAGTGTCCTTATTCTAAATTGCAGAACCTTAATTGTTTGGATGGAAGTTACTTGTTAGTTTTGGAAAGTAAAGTAAGGCAAATTATTTAGTTATTTGGAAAGAGAGTTAGAGAGAATATAATATTTAAAAGTTATTTGAGAGGTTGAAAACATGTCTAAATAACTCAATCTTCAACATTCTGAATTGAGATTTAAGCATAGTTAAAAAATTTAACTTCTAAAATTATCTATAATCATATTTATAAATCTTCCATGACAAAAATATTTTTATAATATTTATATTTAACACTATCTTCATCTACTGTCAAACCAAACAAAACAACTTGATTAAATTTTCATTTACTGTATCTTCCGTACAAATACCAAAAAGTCATTTATCATACTATATTTTACTGTAACTTATTTTAATGCTATACCTTATTTTGATGATATCTTCCTCCGTCAGTACTTCTTTATAGTCTTAACCGAGTTAGGTCATATCATCAAGAAAAAGTTAAAAGAAGAGCCATGTGCCTTTCTCAGCCATTGTAGCTTACGGAAGAGACCCTAAAGGGACCCCTTTGTCTCTCTCCCTCAACAGTAAATGCCCTAAATAATGACCTATCATGCCTTTTTTCTTCATTTAGTTCACACCCCAATGCCCTTTTCATGTATTATTACACTTTATCATTTACAAAAGCAATGTTTACAAATTAAAAAATAAACAAATAGCAATCCACAGGACATCAAGACCAGGGAAAAAAGTGTACATATATTAATAAAAAGAAAAGAAAAGAAATAAAATAATTAGACATTAATTAAATTAATTAATTAAGCTAAGAGCCAGAAATCTTTGTGACGCTTAGTGGTGATCAAATAGCCTCCACCTTTTTTGCTCCTTCTTCTAACTGCAATGGCCATACAATCAGCATTTTGGATGCAATATTCTACAACTCCTCCACCTGTCACCTTATTGCTTGCCCACATCATTATCAATCTCCATGTCATCGATCTCTTCTTTTGCCCTAGAACCAGAAGTTCCACTCCTTGCCTTTTAGCTTCTTCCACTATTAATGGCCCTTTCTCCTTTCCTTCTACAACTGCAATCTCTATTTGTATCTGCAGATTAATTAAAACTTATATTTCTTATACATCTACATTATAAAATCTTATATGTACCCAAAATAAACAAATGCAGCAATAGCTACCCACCTCAGGTCTCCTTAATTGGAACATGTTCTTCAAGGAATTTACAAGTTCATAAGCCCTTGGAGGAGCTCTCTGCTCCTTGCTAGACTATTCAATTGCAATTTTGGCTGTTTCAAGAAAATTTCTCTGACTATGTGAATTGCTAAAAGAAAAATAGTCCAATTAAGTGCAGCATTAGTTGTTTCTTGTCCAGTAATATAAAATGTTTTGTACTCATCAACTATGTCGTTTATGGATATTTTCTTGCTCTTATTTGGATCCTGGTTTGCCTTAAGGAGCACTCCAAGAAAATCACTTCCATGGCTATCGGGTTCACCCATATTTGCTTCCTCCTCCCTCTTCCTTATCATCTTTAAGATGGATTATCGTAACCTTCGCTCAAGTTTATCTGATTTGATATCATCCTTTGTTTTTATAAATTTCCTGCCATAGTGGAAGCAGACATCTTTAACTCAAACATTTCTGCATATAAAATAATTATCGAAAGGAGAAGAAAAAGAATCTTACTTTATCGAGAAGATCATGACTTTGAACAGTATGAGAAAGTGCCCAAAGCAAAGCTCCTTTAGCTTCAAAACTTGAATCAACCACAATCATGATCTTCCTTCCAATAACATTCAACGGTTTGATCACTCCTCCACTAGATTTCTCTTCTTCTGGATTCTCAATCTTCTGATCATTTTTAGTACTTGTAGAAGATGAATTAAGACTGTTAATATTAGGCTTGGATTGTATGGGCGGTGAACGAACAATTTTAACATGAGGCTTAATTCTATTGAGGCAAAAGCTTGGTAACCTTGTGCCTGACTTTCCCATATTTCTCTACTGGTTGGAGAGTAAATGTCAAGGAGAAAGCAATTATTATATGAGAAGAAGAAGAAGAAGATGAAGAGAATATGTAATAATTATGAAAAAATGCTTCTTAATACTTGGCCAAATTTCCAAATGTTGGTTACGGTTGGACCACTATTATCCATGTTGCTTTAATATATATATTATCCCATGTTGCTTAATATATATAGTATATATTATATATATATATTGCTTTTTATTTTATTATTTTATTTGTTATTTAATGATGTTAGTTTCTTTTATTTATTTCCCTATTATTTTTTATTTTATTTTATTTGTTATTTAATGATGTTAGTTTCTTTTATTTATTTCCCCTTTGCGGGGGGCTATTGATGAACGTGCTTTCATGAAAGTGTAGGGCCAATCAGTACTCTTATTGACCAGCTATGGTATTTTTCTATATTTTAATTAAAATTGTATAATATAATCTTATTATGTGCTTTCCACTCCTTTCGGCAATTTCAATCTCATTGTTTCTTGCCATATGGTTGGCATCATTAATTCATATCCTTTGTTATAAGCACTTTTTTTTTCATATATATATATATATAATTTATTTGTTTTTAGTTAAATAGCTATTGGCTTGATTGGAATTTGGAATTTTACGTTTTTCCTATCTCTAGAGTGAAATTTCTTAATATAATTAAAATTATATATGTTTAAAAAATGTGGTAGTTAAGATTTAAATCCCAAATCTGTATATTACATATTAAATATTCAATTTCTGAATTAAAATCTAATCAGTCAAATTCAAACTTTTTATATTTAAATTCAAAATATTTTTTTTAATTCTTATTTCTTTTTTGAAACTATTATGATATAGTTATCGTATATTACTCATTATTCATTATGAATTACCAATTTTGCTGTAGAAAAAAAAAAGTTCAAAGTCCTGTTGAAATAATTTATCACAGGAAAAGAGAAAAAAAACCAAGTATTAAGCCAAAACATGCAAGATTATTTATTAACTAATCTATATTATATTTTAAAAAAATGTCGTCCAAAGAAGATTAGAAGAAATAAGACAATGGTGCACTCAAGTCTCGACTAAAACAAAAGTAGCAAAAGGTTGTTACATAAATTTGGCAATTGGCATGCATTAGAGCGTGTACAATGCAATTATGGATTGTGATTGATGTATTTTAATAAATAGAAGTTATGGATTGTGACGTGACTGAATGTGTATTTATAGATGTTAGAGTTTAAAAAATGGTTCTCCAATGCACAAAGAAGAAATCAGTTTTAGCGCAAGAAAAAGTTTAAGCACAAATAAAGGAGGAAAATAATAAAAAATAAATAAATAAATAGGAAAAAAAGAACAAAAAATTGAGTCGCGCTGTCTAACAGACCCTCTGAAAATAGAGAGCGTGATAGACAATGTCTCTTTTTTTTTTTGACACATCAGACTCACAGATTGAACAGACAATAGCATTAAAGAAAATTTTTATTTTTAACTTTCAATTTTTTAAACGTAACAAATAAATTAATACAATCAACGGTTGCGTTGGAGATGCTCTTCTATATAGACCTCCACATTGATAATTAATGATAATGAATAGAACATGGACCGGATAAAATTTGATATGCTCAACTAGAGGAATAAGCCAAAATATTTGGTTTAGCTTATAGCTTTAATTTTTTTAAAATTAATAGATAGTGTCTATTCAACAAAATTAGTTTTTTAATAGTTATTAATTATTTTAAAAGTGTTTTAGTTGTTTAAGTAGTTAGCAACTGTTTGAGTAGTTTTTTATAAAATATCAAAAACTAAACATTTAATTTTTATAATTAACCTTCTATAAAACGATACTTTTAACTTCTAAAACATAAACATAATCATAATATATATAACTTTTTAAAAATAAAAAATAAAAACATATATACTCACTTCTACAGACAGTAAGAAATAAAAGAAAAAAGGGCAATGCAAGAGCATTATTGATGTTTGATATAGAATGAATTTTAGGCATTCAAGTGTGGCTACTCCCTAAGTTTTAAAAATGATAGCCTCCATTTAAAATTGTCTATGAGAAACGAATAAATTAGTTCAGCTATTAGAGTTAGTTTGCTATATAATTTATTCACCTTTTGGATTACAAAATGTAATAAAATATAAATTTATATAGCTCAAAGTATTGATTTATTAAAGGTATAGTTGCTAACTTGCAATTTGGCTCTTTGATTATGTAATCCTAGAACTCATTATACCCTCATCATAAAAATTAATTAAGAAAAACAAAAAATAATTGAAAAAAAAGAAAAAGAAAGAAAGGAGAGACTCATGAGTAGTATTATCCTCCATTAGGTAAAAGGCTATAATCTTTTAGATAAGATGATGGTAATTATTCTTTGCATATGGATATTACTCTCTTACTTTACCATTTGCAACATCTTGGGCATTGATCAAAATAAGATTGCAATTTAATTATTAGGTATAAGTTTGATTTTAATTTTATTGCATATTTATATATATTGGTATACTAAACGTGGTTCACACGCTATATGATTTCATGATTACAATTAAAAGAAAGAAAAGAAAATATTCAACCTATAAATCTTTTTTATGTTTCTTTTCGAAAGAGTCAACCTCATGATTTAAATATTTGCCAAAGCAAATATTGATTTGGGATAGACATACCGAGAGACGCAGGAGCACTGATAGAAATTAATTTTTCTAAAATTTTAATTTTTTTTTTAATTTTTAACAAAGTATTATTTCCCCTTTTATAAAATTAATTTTATTTTCAAAATTTATGGTTATAATCTACAGAAAAAAATTACTCGGTATATGAGTCAATCTGTATACCAAAAAAGATAAGAAGAATTGCATGTTATATATAAAATCAATTATTAAAATATTTACTTATATTGTTGGTAAGAGTTAATTACTATTATTAATATAAACAATTGTAATTATTTTTTATTCTTAAATTATTAAAATTATGATTAATATTTATAATAATAATTATAAGTAATATATTTCTGATTTGTTAAGTCTGTTTATAAATGAGAAAAAAGCAAAGATGAAATGAGGGACCGGGACTAGACTTTTTGCAAAATCGAGAAAGGCTATGCATTATTTTTTCAAAGTAAAGATTCAACAACCTTCACTGACTTCCCAAAAATATTAGATGGTTAAGAGGTCTTTTCAATCTTTAAATTAATTGAACAAGTTGCATCCACAGATACAATATCTTCTTCTTCTTTTTTTTTTTTTTTTTTTTTTTTTTTTTTTTTTTTTAATTAGATTCATACAACCTTCACTGACTTCCCCAAAAATTATTAAGATTGGTTTAAGAGGTCTTTTCAATCTTAAAATTAATTGAACAAAGGTTGCCATCCACAGATTACAAATATCTTCTTCTTTCTTTTTTTTTTTTTTTTTTTTTTTTTTTTTTTTTTTTAATAATATACAATTGCATTTTTTTTTTTTTTTTTTTTTTTTTTTTTTTTTTTTTAATAATATACATTTGCATTCTAATTATGAACAAAATAGAAAAGGAATTTTTGTTGACCTTGTCTGGCTTCTTACCCTGCGTGTGCTTTCTGCCTTAATTACTAGCTGGAAGCTTTGGATTCCAAATACTAGGCTTTTGTAAGTAAGAATTTGCAGTTCTTCATATCTATAGCAGTCTTCAAGAAAAGGGTTATGATTGCCATGAACTTGAAGAGGGAAATTTTTTATTAATTAAGGGAAAATTGTCAACTTAATAGGAATCATTGTTAGTTAGTTTGGCGACAGAATTAGATAGCTAATTTAACTAGGTAAGTAAAACTAATCAGTGGGTTTACTTTTCCTAATATGTATCATTTTGAGATTAAATTCCTAACCTTAGATCTATTATTTTTATATTTTTGATGAATTGGACCGCAAGTTTTCATTTGTGGAGAAAAATGCAAATTGAGTGGACCATACTTTTCAAAAGTTTATCATTTACCAACTCTGAATTACAGGTGAACTAATAGCATTGTTTTTTAATTTTCATCTCGAGTAGACAAAATAAAATTTGTCTCTCAAAGAGCATGAGATAATAGTGAGAAAACAATTTTTATATATATATAATTTTAAAATTTTAGTTTTACTTGAATTATTCAGTAGACGACGTCGTGCGATGTATTTGCTATAAACACGCGTTGTCGTTGGGCCTAATAATACATACCATTCACAAACCCACAAAACAATTGTTTGGGCATGGGCTTCAAATTCAGATCTTCATATTTTAAACCCAAAAAATCCGCTTATCGGCTAAGAATCCTACAAAATTAGGATTCGCTCACACACAAACTTCTCAACTTCAGAATCTTCTTTTCCAAATTCCTATGTAAATACGTTCTTTTTTTTTTTTTTAAAAAAAAAACCTTGTTTGGTTATGAATTCCTATTCTTTCTGGGTCTTACTTTCCTTTTTCTTTATGTGAAATTTTCTTTCTCATCCAAAGATATTGGGTTTTAGTTTTAAGTTCAGTGAGGGGATTTACCATTGACATATTATTCCGAAGTTGAATGCTGCGTTTTCAATTCTGAGGTATGCATGAAGGATCATCTGTTGTAATTTTTAGTATCAATCTAATTCTTTTTCCTTAATTTTCTTTTCTTTTTTATGTCAGTAGCTGTTTACCCTTTTATGCATTATATATATAGTATTAGCAGATTATTATTTATATATCTGCAACGAACTTTTGAAGTAAATATTCTTGTGGGTCTTCTCTTTTGATTATTGGATTAGCAAAGTAACAATTCTTTTCTTCATTAAGGTGAAGATGAATATATTCATCATCAATATTTTAAAAAAAAAAAAAAAAAAAAAAATATTTTGAAAAAAAAAAAAAAAAAAAGATAACTACTTTCTTAATTTCACGGCAACGCTTAAATTTGCTCTATTAATATGGTTTTAAAAAAAAAAAAAAAAAAAAAGATAACTAATTTCTTAATTTCAGGCAACCTTAATTTGCTTATATGGTGTTCGTTCTTTTGCAGAAGCTAGATAATGGGCTCTATTTGTAGTTGCTTTCTTGCTGAGGATCCTGCAGAAAATAGTAGCAGAAACTCCAATGTCAAAGGATTCATTCATACCATATTCATCAAGGTAAATTTAAGTTTAATTAGTTTAATCAATTGATTTTTATTTGTTAGTTAAGCTTAAAATTCAAATTAACCAATTTAATTGCAATACTGAATAGCTACTCTGATGGTAATGTTAGAACGAGTCTTAGCACAAATATTATGTTTTCGTCTTTTTAGTGTTATATATATTATTTTCTGTAATTATACTATCATGATTCATGATGATGACCTTATACAATTCTAGGGTAATTACCCTAATTAAGCATCATAATTGCCTTAAAGTTGCGTTAATACACATCTGCCTTCAGTATGCGACAGTGTTCAACACAGGCGATACCAGTGTCCTGCCAGAAGCAAATACTGGACTGCACGCCATGAATTCCAACGGACAGTCTCCGCTGCCACGGCTTTCGTCACTGCCACTGCTGCCATCACCGCCGCGGCTGCAGGTGCAGCTCCCACGTGCAAATAGTGAAAGTCAATTACAAAATAACATACAGCAAATAACAAATGGATTTGATATTGTTAGATCAAGTGATTATAACAATTCATCAAAGTCTCCTCATCCCATTAGAGAATCAAAACTAGAAGCTGAAATTACTTATTTATATGCTTCCCAGGATGATGAAGATGTTTGCCCCACATGTCTTGAAGGTAAATTAAACACAATTTGTCTACTCATTATGTCATGATTAATGTTAATCTTTTTTTTGAATTCTCAACATTTGTTGTTGATGATAGATTATAGCTTTGATAATCCAAGGATAGTGACACATTGCCAGCACCATTTCCATCTTGGATGTATATATGAGTGGATGGAAAGAAGCCAATCCTGCCCCCTTTGTTTTAAGGTAATTAATTTCTTCAATCTATATTTGCCTTTTCTTTTGAGGAAGAGAAAAATAATTATTATTCTTTTTAAGTAATTATATATTTATATGTGCATTAATTGCAAATAAGAAATATAAATGCTGATCAAAACACTCATTTGGCATTTCAAAATATCTTCCTGTTCTTTTTATGCTAGCTGGAATTGTATTACACTAATTTCTTTTTAAGTAATTTTGTGATATATACTGCAGTTTGTAATTGCTAATGAATTTGAGTCTCTTCTGGATAATGTTGCAGGAGATGGTATTTGATGAAGCTACGTGAAGTATCGATACAAGCTTGATGATGTGTGTATATACAATTTGATTAGAGATTTAGATTGAAAGTCTATTCTCTAATATCAAAATCCCAAATCAAATATTAAATACATGAGAAATATTACTTATATCCCGTTTCACAATTTTTTCATATTTTTATACGTTCAGACCCATAACTATAAGAAGTAAATTCCTTTCAAATGCCATTATCTTTTTTTTTTTTTTTTTTTTTTTCTTTCTAAATTCCCTTTCTCTTTTTTTTTTTTTTTTTTTTGTTAAGATGATTTCCTTCTTTATAAATTTTTCCAATTATTTAGGAAGTGTAATTGCCAATTGAAGGGACAATTTTTGTATGTAATATTTTTTTTTTTTTTTTTTTTGTTAAATGATTTCCTCTTCATAAATTTCAATTTTAGAAGTGTAATTGCCAATTAGACAATTTTTGGATGTAATATTAATTTTATTTTGTTTGTCTGACGTCAGCAAAGGTAATTGATATTTTTTTTTTTTTTGAAATAAGGTAATTAATAATTTAATATTGTAAAACATCATTAAGTATTGCATGCAAAATACGTAGATAGTAATGATTAGATATAGTAAGATGAACCTCTATTAACTTGTAAAAACTAGTTTTGACTGAAACCATACTTAATTATCCTCATAATTTTCTTTGTTAAAATTTTGCTAATTGATTTCGAAAGGAGAAAACATAAGTTGAGCAGCTTTCGCTGCATCCAATGTAGACGAGACTCCTCCACCGTCCTTGCTGAGTATTATTTTCAGTTTTGATACTTTTGCACAGTTGAGTTCAAGCTAGTAATTATTCCTGGCAACATTCTTTCTACCTTTCTTTCATATCTCTGTACTGTGCTTAATTAATTATTTATTATCTTTACCATTAGCTAGGAACATTATGACTGGTATGTGTATATGTATATATATATATATAAATTACAAGATCTGGGAAAAGATGTGAAACCATAAAATCCGCCAAACCCAAACAAGAACAATAAGGGAAAACAATCTACTAATAGAGAGAGGGAGAAGAAACTTCTCCAAATCACCAGTTTTTAACGGTGTTGTAACACCCTTATGGCCTCTTAGAATGAAATACCGGAACTCTATATAAAAATAGAATTTCTTAAGCAGATAAACCATGCACATATCTGCACAAAACAAGAGTAGATCCATGATCTACCCTGATAAAATAAGGGATGAGACCCTGGATAAAGCCCTGAAGGGTGCAGAAAACTACAAGAACAAGGAAAAAGAAGAACAGAGGGAAAGAAAAAGGAAATAAAAGCAAGAAGATAGCTACTGCCGGTGATACTACACAAAGTCACTTTAGGCTGTTGTTAGGATTGAGAGAAAAGGAAAGAGAGAAAAGAAATGCCTTTTGAAAACTATTATAAATCTATTTGATGAAATCACTGGAAAGTATAATTTCATATTTGAATTTTTGGTAAACAATATTTTTCACCCCCTTTTGAAATTATTATACAAAAGAAAAGGCTATCCTGACTTCTTTGAAATTTATATATACACCCAGTGCCAAACTAGGCACAGGCATGTAGATTTTACTTTCTTGCCACAAATCAAAACCTCTAAAGCCTACATAACAAATAATCCAACTATATGGCTAACCAGATACCCAAATATTGTATTCCTTTCCCTTCTGCTCACTCCACCCCAAAAACGCTACCCATGCATATGAAACCCTAGCAACCATGCTGCAATCAGTTATTGATTTTCCTTTTTCCTTTTGTTTTTTTTTTTTTTTTTTTTTTTTTTTCCATGTTATTGGATTTTCCTTTTTCTTTGTTTTTTTTTTTTTTTTTTTTTTTTCTTTTTGTCTAGCAAAACTTGGAACACGTTGTCCCTACAATTATAATTATATTTATAAGATATATTTTAGAACAAATTTATTAACACCAAAATTTCTTTAACCAATAATAAAGCTCAAATATAATTAGAAATTTGTTACACCAAAAGAGGTAGATTATATGATATATTTATAATAATCCAGGACCGGAAATTCATTAATATACAATGAAAAATATTTTTACTGATTGCCATTCAAGATCGCTAGAGATTAAACCGTGCGTCATATATCATCGTGCAAAGCATGGAAAGAGTCTTAGCGACATTTGTTACATTTCGAACCATAATTTTTCACTGTTCCATTTTATTATTTATAAATTATTAACATTAGACAAACCAAAAGCTTCAGAATAGGCAGTCAGAGAGGTAGCATGTAGTTTCAACTCTCTCTCCTGTTTTCCATTTTAAATTAATTATCTTCGGACAAATTGATAATTATGTGGTGAAGCATCCAACAGGATGACATGAATTAGTTATTGTTCCAATGTTAGGTCAAAGCTGATTTTCCTCCAGCTTCTGGTACTGCTTTCTTCCTGGTTAAAAGTGCCACTCATCATAAAGTAGTCTATATCACTGTCAAAATAATTTAGACAGTGGAAGATAATGTGTTAATACTTTCTAGATGACGAATAGTCACATCTAAGTTATAAAAGCAAGCAATAATTAAAATGGATTATCCAACTATTGTAAACAGGGAATGTGGTTGCATGTTGGCACACAGGAAGGGTGAACATATGGGGTTTACGGTCTTTAGCTAGACTACCCCAGATAAGTGCCTGCTGTGCCATGCCTTCTCCTTCTCCTCAATCTCATATACAAAAATTACTAAACATCTAATTAAGCTCTATGAGTTTTCCTTATCGTCAATCAATATTTCCTATGATAACGAAAGTGACACATTCGTTTACTATTCATTCGTAATGCACGTGTGGGCTCAATAAGCCCTTTGTATGAACGACTTCATTGCAGTCTTATTGTATAACACGCTATCGAGCGAATCTTCTGAATGTTCGTTGCTAATTTTACATTGTTTTCAATCCACTTTGGCCTAAATAATATCTAATCTCTATATATATATATATCAGACCGACATATCATTATATACAAAAAATTTTTATGATGCATCAAGATCGTAGAGATTAAAGTTGTTATATCATCGTGCAAAGCATGAAAGAGTCTTAGCGACATTTGTTACATTGAACAATTTTCATGTCCATTTATATATATATTATAAATTATATATTAACAAACCAAAAGCTTCAGAAATAGGCAGCAGAGAGGTAGCATGTAGTAATCTCTCTCCTGTTTTCCATTTTAATTAATTTCTTCGACCAAATTGATAATTATGTGGTGAAGCATCCAAGATGACATGAATATATTGGTTCCAATGTTAGGTCCAGCTGATTTCTCCTCACTTCTGGTACTGCTTCTTCCTGGTAAGTGCCACTGCACATAAGTAATATCACATGTCAAATAATTAGACAGTGGAAATATGTGTATATTCTAAGAAGTCATTAATATAAAAGCAAGCAAATTAAAAATGGATTACCCAATATTTAGACAAGGAAGTGGTTGCTGTGGCACAAGGAAGGGTGACATATGGGTGTTACGGTTTTGCTGCTCCCAAAGTGCCTGCTGTGCCACTGCCTTCTCCTTCTCCTTAATCTATTACAAAATTACAAAACTAATTAATCTTGAGTTTCTAGTCATCAATAATTATCCTATATACACACATACACATATTACTATCATGTATGCTAATAGCCTTTGTATGAAGACTCATTGCAGTCTCTTATAACACTGAGAAATTTGTTGTAATTCAACCACTTGGCCTAAAAATTCAACTCTTCCTATGAGTTTTCGCATAGAAGTCGTTCTCAAGATTATAAGATTGGGAGTTCGAACTCAATAGATACCCAATTGACAAAAAAGAAAAAAATAAAAAAGCTTGTAGTTATCATTAATTTATTTAATATATATGTATAGAGAGAGAATGGTTCTTAATAAAAATTATCAGATAATCTATAATTAGGAATGTGAAACAGTGGGATACCCATTTAGTACCTGTACTATCAAAACCTATTCTTCTATGTAATCTAGATATTGAATCCTACTCAGTAATTCTACTGTTCTAAGAAACAAAGTTCATAAAACTGCAAGAATTGCGCCGTACCAGTTTGAAAATCGTAATTTCCTGTTATCTTCAAGCAGAATGCCTTTTGATTTGGCATTGTCAAAAAAGTAATCGAACTTGGCAATTGGCAATTTTCACAATCTATGTACTTATATGAACCTTTCTCTATGTAGTACTGGAAAGAGTGATTTGTATGCTTTTGAATAATAAAGATAAGTTACCTGCTTTGCTAGCATACTATTTTGCGCTTCTATTGCCTTCTCCTGTCACAGATGAAAAAAGAAGAAAAAGAAAAGAATATCATGACGCAAGATTAGCTTCATCTGGGACAAACTTTATAACAAGCAGAAAACAAAAGAGAACCTGCACTTTAGGGTTTTTCTGTCCATAACAATACTTTGAGAAGGATGAAGTTTAACTAGCTATTAGTAATTCAGCTCTAAAGGCATTCTTTAAATGCTTATAATCTATGGAATTTCTTTAGGCAAATTTTAGAACCCAAAAGATTTAGCACATAAAACCCTAAACAAGCCCAAGTGCATTATGTTGCAGGCTAACATGATTGCTGTATGTATCTGGCTCTAATTAAGCCATTGGATTTTCTGTAACTGAGCTACTAATACCCTTATTTAGACATGTTCTAAATCAAGTAATTAAATTTTACCGAATCTAAGCAAATTATATCTTCTTCATTCTATGAAAACAATGCTAATGTATATAGTCAGTGTAATAATTAAAAACTGCAGCAGAAACCCTAGTTCCTCCTGCAATATCACTCAATTGCTTGAAAGCAATTTTTTGTTAATTTTGATTAACGATTACCTTTTTCTGATACTCAGAGATGGATTCATGCATCAGTTGGTTCTGCAAGAAAAGCAAACATGTTACTACTATCCGTTAATATAAATCAAATAAAAGGAAATTTAAGCATTTATATAAATACATAAATAAAATATACGCACGTTTCTTGCTCGGATGTGCTTAAGAGCAGTATCAAGCTGTTGCTCCAAGTTTTGGAGCTCTTTCAAGCTCAATGAGTCTAAATCTTCTCCTAAATAGTGCCTGTTGAGGTTTGAATATTATCATTAAATTGAATAACAGCAAAGGAAAATAGATAATTAAGAAAATAATTAAATTCACTAATAATTAGTACCTATGGTTTCTCTCTAAAAGCTCAACCTTCGCCTTGAGTCTGTTATATTCCAGGGTCCAATTCTCCTGCATATATAATTAATTAACCTCATGGTTGTCATTTGTCAATCACTAATTTTATATATTATGGTTCCATTAATACTGAGTTTTGATTCATATATATATATATATATAAACTCTGAATTTTTTATGATGGGACAAGGAATCCAAACTCGTCCTTGTACTAGAGAACTTACTTGTGAATTAAGATCGTTTGCTATGAGCTGCCTTTCTGCATAAGAATACCTCTCATAGCGTTCAAGAATCTTTTCCATGCTGTACAAGAAAGTAATCAACAACGTTGGTTAACAGGTTTGATGGACTAAAGAATATTAAACATCACTGGATAATGCAATAAGAGCAAATAGGGAATCACAAATTGGCAATTGAGAAACATAAATTTTACAGCTACAAGTCACTGGAATTTCTTTGTTTTGTTCATGATTCATACTGCAGTTTAGATATCAAAAGAGGCATTGATATGAAATATTGAAAAAATAAGCACAAAATTTTCCGTTAATTATATATACAAAATAAAAAACAGAATAAGCAATATACTCAAAATTGCACATTCTCCAGAAGTCACAACCAAGAACCAATCCAGTGGAGTCAATTCAGTTGATATGAAAGAGATGAGAATTCCCCTTCCTTATTAATTAGGGTTCAGTGCCACTATAGGAAGTGCGCACTCCAGGAATAATAGTACTAATGACACTAGCACTCGGTGTGCATAAACTATCCGAAGAATACCTCATAATCTACAGTATCAAAAAAAGAAAAAAAAAGAAAACAATCAATAGAAGCAAAGCTAATAACATGATTAACATTAATTAATATGAATAAAAATTCAAGTCAATTATACGTGATTTAGTTGATCTTCTCACTTATATAAACAGTAGTGAGAGGTTTTAAACTCGAGTTTTCTCGATTATAAAAATTTTTACTAATTTGACGAACTAAGGAGAAAGCTACCCTGTCGTGTAGATACAAAAGTGAGCAAAATGCAGCAAGTATGCATGACTAAGTATTAAAACAATAACATAAGCCAATTGTTAATAATAAAAATCCATACAAGCATTTTGACTGTATGGAAGTATATAGCAGCATATATTAAAATTAAGTTACCAAGAAATTTAATCAGTAATAACATCAAACCAGCTTATCCAAAAAGACAAACATGTAATAAAAAGCAAATTGAATATCATCTGTCGAGATTCAAAGAAATTAAGTCAAGTGTCTGTCTCGCGGTGCATGAGATTAAAGATTCAAACTTTATATTAAATTTAAATATTTTTTGATTTACGGAAAACAAAAAATGTTAAGCATCAATTAATTATATGGAAAAAGAAAAACATGATAATAATAATTAGCACAAGTTATCATTACATAAAGACTTCACTAAGTAAAAGCACTAGAACACATTCCTAGAAAGAAAGTAATTGTGAGTACTAAGATGCACATTTTATCCATTATGTAATAACCCTTATTTTAAAGTAAACAGAAAAAACCATGAAATGATTTTTGTGTTTTATCATAAAATTATATTAATTTCACACATGAAAACTCAATATAATTATATAAAATAAAACATTTTTTAATAAAAATCCGTACAACTGAAAGAGAAACCAGTAGTTACGGTATAATCCTAAAAACCAAATAAAAGACTAATCAAATTAATAGGTTTTGCATTTAAATTTGGACCTCCTTTTGAGGGATCGTAGATTTATATTCTTCCAGAGTTCAAATCAATCTCCCGATGCAATTATTATTATTATAACATCATAACGTGCAGACAATAAAACAACTGAAGTCAAAAGTACAGTTAAATTGGCAGTGGATCTGAGACAGATGTCAAGATGGGTTGCATAAATCTGTCCATACAATATTATGTACTAATTTTTATAATATCTGTTTTCATGTAGAAATCCACAGCTTTTGCGAGAAAAAGAAATGGGGCAAAAAGAGAGTAAATTCAATTAAATCTTTTTCAATATATGTTTATTATAATTTATAAATTTTCACAAAATCAAGTATAAGTGTTGCACCTTTGATTATGTCAAAGATTAATATAGTGCTATAAAAAATTAAAAAAGAAAAGAAAAGAAAATCAATATAAAGCTGAAATTACATTTCTGAATTTAGTAAAAGACTAGGTTTTGAGGGTGAAATACTTTAATAATAATAATAATAACAACATATTTAGAACATGATAATACATATAAAGTCCCTTTCAAAAAAAAAATTTATGAAGTATGTTATTAGCCTCTAAACTCTCTGCATTAAATTATTCAAGATGCTAAATAGTGGTTTAACTTCAAATGCAACATATATTAAGTCCAAAAGCAGAAACTCTGATACCTAGAGTATCAGTCACTGATTTTCACAAGAGAAAATAAAAATTTTTTATGGAAAAAAAGGATAATATAAATACATAAATATATTTTTTTTTCTGTATGCAAGATATCTATCTTTCATGCATATATGTAGACAATAATGTGTTCTGTACGAAGAAAAATGGATAAGGTTTTCTGTGAAGAAACAGCCACGAAACCAAGAAAATTAAATTTGAAAAAATAATAAAAAAAGTCCCAAAATTAATGTGGACTGAGGAAAATGGATAAACAAAATCCCTAAACCCAGATCTTGTAATAATTGATAAAACCTAAACAAAAGAAAGAAAGAAAACCTAAACAAAAACCATATGCATATATACATATAAAAAAAATATCAATGAAGAAAGAATAAAGAAAGAAAAATTTACCACGAATCAGTAGAGTACTCAAAGAGCTTTCCTTTGTGGGAGAAAACAATCAAAGCAACCTCAGCATCACACAAAACAGAGATCTCATGAGCTTTCTTCAACAGACCAGCCCTTCTTTTGGAAAATGTTACTTGCCTATTGATCTTGTTCTCTATTCTCTTCAACTGAACCCTACCTCTACCCATTTCAACAAATATGTATAAATTTTTCCTCTTCTTTCCTCAAAATAACCCAAACAGCCAAAACCCAAGAAAATACCGAAAAAGAAAAACCAAAAGAGAGGCTGTATAAATAGAGAAAGGGTTATAAATAGGATTTTTCTTCTTGCTACATATGAAGCTTTCCCAAGAAAGCATGCACATATATAGAATGGGAAAATGGAGAGGTAGAGAGGGGGATAGTGGTTTTTATGGAAAAGGGCAGGTTTTCACATACCAGAGTGGTTTTTTTTTTTTGAATTTGCTGTCGATTTCTCATTGGCTATTGCTTGTACTACAGAGTCCGTATTACCTGATGTGCAAAAAACCTCATTTTCTTGTATAAAGAACTCTTATTTAATGTTCGTTTAGCATTTACTTTCTTTTATACTACTAATTTTTATTTAGGAATGTAATATTCGAGGCCACAGAGACTAATGGTGGCATGGCAGTGTCAGATCCTCTACGGACTATGGAAACTCCTTGTATGGTCGAACCTGTCGTCACCCAACAACACATACCTTCATTATTAGTATTGACGGCGGAGTTTTTGTTTCTTTAACCAAACTATGATTTTTTTTTTCTTAGTAATTAACTCTTAATTCTGAATTGGTATTATTATGCAACTGTTTAGTGCCAAATACAATGACTTATAATGACTTACCATCCACAAGTAAAAAATTTTAAAATAATCTTAAATCAAGTGTCTAATCTGGTTATTCTTTTCACTTCTATAATGATTTATAATGCATAAATAAAAAAAATTTAATGTAATATATATCAACCGTGGTTTGATTAGTCTTTTCACTTATACGAGAAATTAGAGGTCTCAAATTTCAACAGAATATTTTTCAAATTTCAACTTATTTTCTTTTATTATAATTAGATATAATTTTAAAAAAACAATACACGTCATCGTAAAAATCCTATTATGATACATTGGAGAGCCCGTTTTCAAATTTAATATTTACAAATAGACTTATAGTCACATCATTATTAATATCTTCTATTTAATATGCTATATAAGCCACAACCTACGGTCACATTAGAATTGCTCTAAAGCAAAAATGGATATAAACAATTCAAGATAAATCATGATTAAGCTGGTGTAAAAACTGAATACTACTAAAAAGGTTAAAAGATTCAAAATCTGAAATTGTAACTATTGGAAAGGTTTTACGGAATACTACGTTGGTCGTAGTATAAAAACAACATTAAAAAAAGGCCATCTACTGTCCATATTATACAATCGGTTCCTCATAGGTGAATTTGTACTTCTTTTTTTTTTTCAAAAAAAAGTTGAATTTGTACATATCAAATTAAAAGAAAAGGCAAACCCATAAAAACTATGCCTTTCGATATTTAATATATTTAGTTATTTTTGTGTTTTGTTGTTGATAGAACTTGCAGATTATGGAAAACGTAATAGTAATATGTAACAGCTGTAGGCTGCTGCACTTAGGAGAGCAACTGAAAGTAGAAAGCGTTGGTCTCTTGTCAAGTGTTAAATTAACAGCATTTTGACATTTCTGAATTTTGTGGGTTCCATTTATCACATTCATAAACAAGAAAAGAATTGCGGTTTGGGTCATCAAATTTATTCAAACTGTGACATTTATCAAATTTAGGACAACCCACTTCAATTTGCCAAGACAACAATGATGCTGACACTTTGACTTTGGTCAATAATAATATAGGATTTTTAAAGACATTTTGTATGATTTTTTTTATTATTATTTCCTATATGTATGACTTCAACTAGCGTTGATTAAACTCAAACATGCTTTATCATTTAACTACTCTTAGAAATTTCTATATTGATCAATAAAATAAAGATTAACGACTTTATTTTCACTCCACTCTTTTGTTGTGGTGCTCTTATAATCGTTTAAATTTTCCGGCATGTTATTATTTCTATGCTATTAATAAATAATCATTATTACTAATAATTAAGGTGTTGGTTAAAATAATAAGCGATTTCAATCTTTGTAAGATTGAAAAACGCACGACTAAAAATATTTTCGCTCTATTGTCCGCACAGGATCACACCACATCTCATTGTGTCAAGACACTCCAACATGAACTCTAACCAATAATCAATAAAAAAAATATCAGTAGTATGATCTAACCCATGATTGGTAAAGACAATGGAAATAGAAAGATTAAAAAATCAACAGAGAAGGTATCCTCACGAAAAAAAAAAAAAGATTAGAAAAATATTTGTAAAGAAAATAAAAACGTCCTTTTCTCATACCTTTTGTTGTTAAAATCACAATATAACATATTCTGGTTCGATGCATCTGTCTCTTTTCCAGTTAAAATAGGATTACGCGTTCGTAATAGCAATGAGCCTGACAAATTAAGAAAAGGCTGTGGATTGGAATAGCTCTCACGTGAACTACCCCATTACTTTATGCTATTCGTATTCCTAATCCTGAGACACAACGCAACCTCTTCTCTTCCAATATAAATAATCGGAAAATAGGCATGTTTAAGAATTATCGGTTTTAATTTCGAAATTATGGTTTTGGATATAAAAAAGATGAAATTAGAACCGAACCGTTTTTATACGATTTCAAAAATAATTTTGAAACTGTCGATTTTGATTTTTTTCAATTTTGAACTGAAATTAAATAATATATTTTAAACTTTTTAAAATATTTTTTAAAAGATTTAAATTTTGAATAAATAATAAGAATAATAATAAATGTTACTGTTGAAAAAAAATAAATCAATTTAATAAAAATTCTTTAAAATTACTTTAAAAAACTATAATAAAATAAAAAAATAAGTTGAAAATTTATTTAAGAACATATTTTTCACGATTTCAAACCAGAACTGTCGGTTTTGATTCCACAAAATAAAGGAATGGAACTGAACCTTAAATTTATAGTTTCGGTTATAGTTTTAGAACCAGAACCGTTGACCATGGTTTAATGCTGGTTTTAACTAATTTGGTCATATATGCACTTACAATTATACTATATTTTAGCGTGCTTAGATTCCTCGGTTTTACATTATTATTATACAGTGCTTACATTTCAACTTGTTTTCGAATTTAATCACTTAATTCAATTATAAAAAAAAAAATCATGCTAATTAGGCTTAAAATATAATTGTAGATTATGTATTATACGAAATTTAAAAAAAAAAAAAAAGGAAAAAAGAAATGGGGCCAATGCAAAGTTGATGTGAGGCCTGTCTTTATATAATCTTATATTTCCAATTAAGAAAGTCAAACCTTTAAAGATTAGGTTGATTCTTAACTAAAAAGGGGACTCCTAATTGTCTGGTTAAATTCTCCATGTACCATTATATATATATACTAAAACAAAACCCAAAAACACTATTCATAGAATACTGTTTTTCCACAAACCATATCATTTTCATCCTATTCCCATTTTTGCCCTTTATCATATTTACGAACTAAATAGTATTTTTCCAATTAAACCACGTCTTTTCCATATTTTCTCCATTTTGCCCTTTGTCATATAATATTTCCAATTAGAAGTCAGACTTTAAAGATAGGTTGATTCTTAACCTAAAAAGGGGACTCCTATTGTCTAGTTAATTCTCCATGTACCCATCGTATATATAGTAATACTAAAACAGGAAAACCCAAGAAAGACACTTATTCATTGAATACTGTTTTTCACCAAAACCATTCATTTTAGTCCTTTTCCATTTTTTGCCTGTATGCATATTTACGAACTAAAATTAGTATATATAACAAAACCCAAAAACACTATTCATAGAATACTGTTTTTCCACAAACCATATCATTTTCATCCTATTCCCATTTTTGCCCTTTATCATATTTACGAACTAAATAGTATTTTTCCAATTAAACCACGTCTTTTCCATATTTTCTCCATTTTGCCCTTTGTCATATATTAGAAGTTACTCTTCATTTGAATAGTGTTTTAGCTTTTATTCTTTACTGTTTTGCCCCTATTCATTTCTAATCATTTATCCTTACAATTCTGATTGTATTTTTATAAATTTCATCAATTTAACGTCTTTTTAACACTGGTATAGCCACGTACTTAATTCTTCACCATTTTCACAATGTAAATTAAATTAGTCTAATACTTTTAATAAATAAGTTACCTTAACATTTAGTATTATTAGTTTAAAATTTATGATAATTAGTTTTTCTTTTTATTATAGAACTGACTCAATATAAGTTTCAGTCTCAATTGATTAAATTCACTAAATAATTACTTTAGCATTTTTTACGGTGAATTGCCATTTAAACCATCACTTTTTTATCCTATTCTATTTTAATTGTTCCTAGAGGCTTTGTGACTATTCTGACTCTACAAATGAATTTTGGATATATATATATATCATTCTCTTAGATTAAAGATGACATATTTGGTGTTTGTCTCTTTTCCACATTAATATTTATTTTATTTTAATTTCATTGGTCCAATTAATTACCATCAAAATTTTTTTCATAAGTCATCTTTTAGTACTTTTTAAATAAATTATGTATCTCAGTTCTTAAAATTTAACTATTTGAATTATGGAATTGATTTTTCTTTTTGATTTATATAAATAAAGCTTAGCACGAGTTTATAAAATTGAATTAAATGGATGAATAAGTATAAATTTTTTGAATAATTCATTTTAGAACTTATGATATATTTAATTTATAATTAACTTAATCGATTTTTTTTTTAAATGACAATGCATTCAACTGATTTATTATTTATTATATTATCATGTATTAATAAATATAAAACTATTAAACTTTTGAAATTTTAAACTTTTTAATTTATTATTGTTCTATTGACTTTTTTTTTCATTTTAAGTGATTATTTTTACTAGAACTAAAAGATTCGTGAGCAATTTATGAAGATAATCGATAAAGCATTAAAAATTCATATCACTTGATAGATAAAATTTGAGAAATTGAGGAACACAAAATTAGTTTTTTTTTTTTTTTTTTTTTTTTTTTTTTTTTTTTGTGGATTCTCGATATTTTTTCCCATAGCCAAAAAAATTGATAAAACCTTTAGATTGTGATTTTACACTTCGTTTCTTAAAAAATTACAGTTAATAGTAAAATATAAATAAATATGAGAGCTATGCATACCCTAAACACAATTATAAAGATTATTTTAATATATTACTTCAAAATGCGATTTTTACATGTATTAATTGAATAATTTTCTA